TGCTGCAGGCACCGTCGAACAGTGGTTCGGATCGCAAATCTAGCTGGAAGAAACTATTTAAACAAATTCTCTTTGATGGATTGTTACACCGCTTCTTATCCAGGGGATTTTTGGGTCCATGATTACGAAGCTGTTAAGAGTTTGTCGGTTTCAAAGAATAAACACTAAGCCGCAGACTCTGATTTAGATTTATTGAAAGAATTCTCGCTAGTACAAAGTAAACATAATGTCTACAGCTAGGTTAGCTGCGATAGTATATGTTTCTTACGTCAGATTAAATCAGGGATGGTAAACCGAACCGGGCAGGGTCGCATTTTCTCGGACTTCGAATATTCCGCCCACCTTCGTCGGATTTGACGGCGAAATTATTATAGTGCGCCGCCCACCGTCTTGAGCGCGGACTGAGTGGTTCCTGCCTGTGAATCCATCGGGTCCATCTCGATGGGTAGAACCGAGATCTTTGATAGAGGTCCTTTAATAAGACTGGTTTGCATCCTTATAGTAACCACACGAACTACTCCGTCTTCTCCTGCGTGAGCATCGGTTATACGACCAAGAATCCAGCACTTGGGTGGCAACCGTTCATCTCGTACTAAAACGAGTTGGCCGCAAACGATATTTGGTTGTTGCGTGCGCCATTTATTTCGCGTTTGAAGTTGATACAAATACTCGCAGGACCAACGATGCCAAAAGTTTTGGTGCATCTGCTTCAGCAACTTCCATCGCTTCAATAAGCCAACCGCTTCGCCAAGGATGTACTGTTCTGGGAGTGACGTCAATGCTCTTCCGATCAGCCCAGTGTAAGCGTTGATAAGTCCTGAGGGTCATCGGACAGTGCAGAAATCGGTCGCCAGTTCAAATACGCTTCCACCTGTTTAATTTAAAAATTTTGAAATCTTGATAGCAATTTTTTTGTAGTTTGATTAATTTTTATGCAATTTGTGCAAGCTTTTAAACTTTTATTATTGTAGTTTCTGTTATAGATTCAATTCTATTTTAAAGGAAATTAATAAAAATAAATAAATAAACACAATTCGCAAACAATATCATTTTATAATAATTAGTTGATCGCATCTGTGTGTACTACAAGCATACATATGCGCATGCCTAATAGGAGGAAAGTTAGTTGCAGCTTTTTTCACTGAAAATGATGTGAAAAAGCTGTAACTAACTTTAATGTCAACTTTATTTTGACCATGAATGAGCCCCATTATTTACATGTAATACGAGTATTGCACTGAAAAATCATCATTCAACACATTGGTCCGTATGCATAAAAACTACGCAATTGCTTTTACTTATAATTTCATACCTTTCACTTAACTTTATTTGAACAAATCGAGTAAAATGTCTGAGATTTTTAGAAAGAGCATTTGCTTAGGTTATATGCATATGGCATATTTTCTCGAAATAAATGTTCATAAAACTCAAACATAAATTTTCGAGAAAAACCACTTAGGGCCGGTTGCTCAAAGCCTGGTTGACACTAATCCCCGGTTAAACATCGTTATCGACGTTACCGACACCGTATTATATGTATGGAGTCGAAAACGTCGATAACGATGTTAACCGGTGATTAGTGTCAACCAGGCTTTGAGCAACCGGCCCTTTGCTAACAAGAGCAATTGCTGCTTTTGTACGTTGTTGTCAATGTATCCATCTTTAAAGTGAATTTGCCTGCAAGAAAACTGCGGTTTGTTGCATTGAAAGCAGCATAGCAATCGTTAAAAAATAAAAACAGATTTTTTCTTCGCTTTTAAATGCCGACAACAAATTACCAAAGAGTACGCATATGTACGCTTTTTTTGTCAATGTGTCCATCTTTAAAGTGAATTTGGGAAAAGACTAAGGCACCTAAAAAACTGCGGTTTGTTGCATTGAAAATAGCGCAACAACTACAATAAGAATCGTAAAAAAACAATTTTTGCGATCCAAATGCCGACGGCAAATCACCAATGAGTTTGCATATTTGCATAGCTTTCACATATTTATTAGATAACAAATCTACGTTTTGGAGTTAAAGCATTCCCTGGCATATATTTTCGAAAATTAATTTTCATTAATTTAACCAAGAATTTTAATCTTTTTTTTATGAAATCAATGCCGCGAAAAAGAAAATCCAAACCAAAGTACTTAACATTGATACAAATTGGCAAAATTGTATCTCCGCTCAGCTCTGTTAACTTGCCGCTCTCAATTTTCGATTCGAGAGGTGAGATTCTAGAGCGTTTTTGGTAGTGTTTGACAATTCACACGGCTATTCGTAATTGCTGCTTCTCTGTATTAAACCAGTGAACTTAGATAGATAGAGAAGGTGCAAATTTTTGGAACGTAAAATTGTTTGGCTGAAAAATAAATCACCAAAGCGCGATTAACATTTCAAGAAGACTTAACAGAGAAAAATGTAAATTTCTGTTGTTATAATGTTATATTTGTTGCAAGTGTCGTCTGGCTGTGTTGCTAGGTTGCAGGTGAATGCAGAAATATATTCATGTGTATCTTTTATAAAATTAAATAAATAAATATAGTTAAATTATATTAAATGTACTTT